GGAAGACAGCATCCCAGCAGATGACGGAGATACCTCATAAGTAATTTTTTTTTTTAAACCCTTCTCCGCTAGATCTAGGGATTTGAACTTCTGGTTTGTTTGTTGGTTGGTTGTTGTTGTTTTGTTGGAGTTTTTTTGTTTTTTGTTGTTGTTGTTTTGGTTGTTTGTTTGGTTGTTTTTTTGGGTTTGTTTGTTGTTGTTGTAGTTGTTTTGTTTTTTTTGTTGTTTTTTTGGGGGGGTAGGGGATACGTGCAACAGCGAAGAGCTTAACCGTTACCTAATGTATGTTTCTGGTTGCCTTAGCTCAAACTCAAACGGTTAGATATACGTAGTTAAAACTTGGCTGACACTGACATACGGGGGTTCGATCAGGCTTCCAGTCAGAATCAGATAAGCTCACTTATCGAGTATTTTTGGCTTAGAGACGATTCTAATCTTATAATATACATGTATGTAGTTATGTGTCAAGTAGATTGTCAAAACTTTCAGGACAACAAAACAAACGGTTTTGTGTTGCAGCTAGATTCAGCAGATGTCAACGAAAACAAAGGTCCAGTCATCCACTTGATCGAATCTGACCAGGAAGAAGCCACAGTCTACACGTTCGAAAAAGACAATGAGCGCAGCAACAAAACCAGCAGATCTGTCCCCAGAAGAGTCCCCAGTGACGAGTCAAACGAACTACACTACGCCCAAAGCGAAGAGGACGCAGATCCTGATGACGTAGTGGTCTTCCAAAGGGGTCAGCGTGACGTTAAAGTGACCCCGAAAGTGGTGACCAAGGCTGTGCTATTGACATTGGCATTGATAGGGGCGCTGTATGCGACATACTGGTAGGCCCCGTACCATGACAATGCTATATTCTGGCGTGCACGTTTAAGCTTAAAGTAGCAACTCGGACCGATTCGCAATAAGGGTAATGTAGCACGGGAGACAACCGAGATGGGAGACAGAAAGAAATATTGTAAAACTTTTCCCACAGAAACCAACGTTAGCCGGCCCTTCAAGTAAGGACATTAATTAGTAGATAGATTATTATGTTATTGATTCACGGCCCAATCGACACAATTTAAATGCTGGGGGGTGAGTTGCTTCGATCATGTCTGTCAAGGCCAAACCCGGTTGAATGGAATACAACATCCCAGGAGACACGGTCGAAAGAAAACAAGCTTCGCCACTGGGGAACTGAACTCACACCTTTTGCGAGCGACGTTGAAGAGCCTTACTATTAAACCACAGACACCAGTGCAGATCGATAGATGGATAGATAGATAGATAGATAGATAGATAGATAGATAGATAGATAGATAGATAGATAGATAGATGTGCGATCATTGCATACATCTAAACCACTGAATAGTAATATGACTCAATCAAATGTGGACATGTTTGCAACTGCCGCATTTTCATATTATGTAGGCCCCTACATATTATACGTAATGCTTGACGGTGAAATCAGGGTGCATGGAAATGGAAGTAAAAGTTCGTTTCACTTCCTTCTGTTTTCAAAGTCAAATTATGTGCAAGGATTTAGTAAATGTGTGATGAACTAGCATTGGATTTTAATTATTTTTACGATTCTGTGATGCCTCTTTGTAATGTATCGTTGGCCTATAAAATTAAGTGTGATAGCCAACTGGTGACCAAAAAAATTCCTCCTAACATTAACATCATTTCGAGAATGATAAATCCAATACATATTATTTCGTGTGCATATTACCAGGTACAGTATCAACTTCAGCAAAAGCAGCGAAGTGCTATCAGCGTCATTGCTGCTTCTCCTGACTGTTCTTGTCTTCAAACCAAAGTATTTTCTACCAACGCTGATTTATAACAACGCCAGCCCGTCTTGTGTTTCAATGAAAATGGTTTCCGGGCGGCGAAGGTGAGAAGAGAGAACGATGGTGAAGCGAACTGCTCACAGGTTAAGGGAACCGATGTTCTTTATCTCCAAGCTCGATTGAACAAACGCCACTGTGGATCTCCACTCATATCTACACGTACCTTGTGTTTTAAATACATTATGTTAAATCTTTTCCCTTTTGTTTGGAGTTGCACATATTTTTTAACGTTATCATAATATAGTATACCCTACAACAGTGTATGCACTTGTGTTTCTTGTCGCGACTACGTGGTCCAGTCTGGGGAGCGACTAAAACTGTTTAGTCATACAACTTCGCGTTAAACAAAACAAAAAATCGCGTTTCATACAACAAAATCTCTTAGTCTGCTCTTCAAGTCTTTATATAGCTGAGCGTTGAGATAACCCAAACAAATATTACTTAAATAAATCTAGACCTTAGAATGAACAGTCTTGACCTAGACATGAGTGTTTATCTCGAGGCCAGACAAGAGTCAAATCAACAAACAGAATATTGTGTCACTACTTTGTTGAAAAAAAAAAGCTGTTGCCATGGGAGACAAAATATTGTGTAAAAATGTATCGGTCCCAGCCCAAACTGATGGCCCCCACATGAGGATAGGGGTACATGTGATTGTAATAATTGTAGAATATTATTACGCTTTTCTCATCATTCCCATGGGCGAGCAGAACAACTACTTTAACCCTATCCGTACGCCCTGGGGTCATTTTGTACCCCCGGGTTTGTATTCTCTCACGTTTTAGAATACTTCTAGTACGAAGATCTCTTTGAAACTTTCAGTATTTCTAAAAAAAATCAGTTTGACAGACTGCTATTGCTATGCAAAGCGTGGACCGGATTAACGAGTAAATTTCCTCTTTGGAAAGTGGTGGCACGGAGCTCCCCACGCCATATGGATACGATAGTAAAATACGACGTATCGTACAGATAGGGTTAAGTTTAAAACACCAGCGTTTGTGTTGTAACTGTTGGGCACTTTTCCCTCGCACGTAGAAGACCCGAGTTCTGTTCCCGTGCGGAGAGAATTTTTATCGCACATCTTGGTCTCTCTGTTGAGACCTTGTTATGTATTCCTCTTTCTAAGCTCGGGTCAATCCTCCTCCTATACGATCTAAAATTGTGTCTACGGAGGCTACATTTTTTAAAAAGTTCAGATCTCTATAAGCGTATGGAAGGACGTTATGTTTGATCTTTTGGGCAAAGAGACGCACATCGACACAATAACGGTCACCATTGCAGTTCATTGAAAAAGCAAGACGGATAGACAGACCCGCCATAGGGAATGAAAAGAAGTACACAAACACCCACTAACAAGGCGTGCATCTTTATGAAAGATTTCTGGCGAGTAATACGTACCCAAATGTATCAAAGACAACAGCCAACTTTCCAAGTCATTTTGCGAATGTTTGTGTGTGTGTGTGTGTTTGTTGACGCACACACTGAAGCACGAAAAAGTAGCGTTTAGTTTATTTAGAAATTAGTTATTTGTAAGTAGTACTTTGGGGGGAGGGGGGGGGACCCCGTGGAAAACTGGGAAAGCAGTGTGCTGGTACAGAGTCTAATTTTGTATGGAATTATGTCCCCTAGGCCCGCAGAAAGGACCAGACAGAATGCTGTCCACGTGAAAAAGTTATTAACAGAATGATTCAGTCTAAAACTCCTGGTTCCATCACAGCTGGCCTTCGCATCTTTGACATTATAAATATGACCACAATTTCCTGTCTTTTTTGTCTTTATTGGACTATGCTGCAAGACACAAAACCGTTTCTACGATTGCAAAGTCGACGAATGAAAATGAAATCTATTATTAGGACATGGGGTTGAGAATATTAAATGTTAATAGGGTGACCTTATTTAGGCCACATATGGCCTAAATAAGCTAAACCCCCATCCCTTACCTTATTTAGGCCACAGGTGGCCTAAATAAGCTAAAACCCCCTCCCTTACCTTATTTAGGCCTCACCTGTGGCCTAAATAAGCTAAACCCCCCTCCCTTACCTTATTTAGGCCACACCTGTGGCCTAAATAAGCTAAACCCCCCTCCCTTACCTTATTTAGGCCACACCTTTATACAAAGTCACAGAAATATTCCTTTTGTGCTTATTGAGGTGCAGTGCAGGGTGATTTTACCTGCAAGGATAATTGGACAAAATGGGCAACATCTTTATTGCTAATGGTCATATTTAGACAAATCCTATATCATTGTCTTTTTTTTCTTAACTGCTCATGGTTATTAAAGAGTAAGCCAGCTAGGCAGTAATTTCGGATTCCTAATACTAATATTATGGGCATTCTTAAAATTTTAAAACTTGTTTTTACCGCTTTTCTCAACGTAAAACGGATTCCGTAAAAAAACAAAACAACAATGACCTTATCTTTCTTTTTCAAAGTATTGTGCATATATATGTGTGAAACTATATATTCTATGCTTTCATGTACATGAAAAAAGCTAATAAAGGCAAGCAAAATGTTCTTCAGATACATAGATCTAGTAGTAGGCCCACTGGAATTTTTTTATAAACCGGGAAAGATGACCAGAAAATAACAAAATAATTTTATGATCTTCACTTGCACTTGCAATTTTTTTGACAAATTATAGTCTACCTCATTGTCTTTTTTTCCCCGCATTTTTCTTCACTATTCATGACAACTGGCATGTATTGTTTTCAGTTATTATCAAAAAAGTGGATAGGCGGACTACGGGGTCTATCTAGCCAAAAGGATAGGTGGACCCCGGGGTCTACCTAACAAAATGCTAGGTTTTAAGATGTGAACCCCGGAGTCAGCGTAGTGAAATAAGTAGTAGATCTAGGTTTAACTAAGGATCGGTGGACCCCGGGGTCAACATAGTGAAATAAGTAGATCTCAGTTTATTTTATAGTAGGACTGGCGGAGCCCGTGGTCAACGTAGCGAAATTATAAGTAGATATAGGTTTAATTAAGGATTGGTGGACCACGGGGTCAACGTAGTGAAATCAGTAGATCTAGGTTTAATTAAGGATTGGTGGACCCTGGGGTCAATGTAGTGAAATAAGTACATGTAGATCTAGGTTTAATTTTAAGGATTGGTGGACCCTGGAGTCAACGTATTGAAATAAGTAGGTTTAAGGTGGACCCCAGGGTCTACCTAACGAAATACTAGTTAGGTTTTTAGAATAGGAGGAACCTGCGGTCACCGTAGTAAAATAAGTAGGTTTAATCAAGGTGTCCCGGGGGTCCACCAATCCTTAATTAAACCTTCTTAGTCCTCTACGGCTATGGTGACTTCGGGGTCCACCAATCCTTTTAAAATTAACCTTACTTATTTCACTACGCTGACCCCGGGGCCCACCAATCTTTAAAGAAACCTACTTGTTTCACTACGGTGACCCCGGGGTCCACCTGTCCTAAAACCTAGTATTTCGCTAGGTAGACCCCGGGGTCCACCTTAAACCTGCTTATTTATCACTACGTTGACCCTGGGGTCCACCAATCCTTACTTAAACCAAACCTTATTTCACTATGGTGACTCCGGGGTTCACATCCTAAAACCTAGTATTTCGCTCTGCAGACCCCAGAGTCCACCTATCCTCTACAGGACTAAACTATTATCAATTTGCAATTTTCATTGATTAGCATATTTTTAAAAAAATATTGAATCAGAGACTCGTTGTCCAAAAAGTCCACTGATAATGCTATTCTTTTCAAAGAAAATGGCACAATTTGATTTTATGACATGTTGAAAAAAAGAGTTTTAAAAATATCCCGAAAACAACATAAAATGATTATATAGATCTCTCTCTCTCTCTCTCTCTCTCTCTCTCTCTCTCTATATATATATATATATATATATATATATGTGTGTGTGTGTGCTTGTGTGTGTGTATTTTATTATGTATACTAAAAGACTGAGCAGAGGCTTACAATGTAAATTCTGTGCTCTACAAGTAGAGAAAATATTAAGTTTGCGCAAAACAGATTTTAGAAAAAAAAGTTGGATCTAATTATTCTAATACAAGTAAAAGTGATTGTTATGCTGAGATTTGTTATTATTGACTCTGGAAATACAGTTACTTGCTGAATCTAAAAGTAACTAGAACTGTGCAATTCGTTTTATTTCAATTCCAAAGCCCAAAGGCATAGCAATAATAAGTTAGATCTAGATCTAGCAGTTGTAGGCTCTCTGGCTGCTTCTAGCATAGGCCTGCTACTACTGATTCTAGACAGGGAATCTAGATCTTGCTATCGCCTGCACTATTAAAGTCAAATATATGGTAAAATAAAAACAAAACTGAATCTTTTTTCAGTCAGTACATCCCAATTGCCATAGCCGCATGTATTAATAGTTGAATAATGCGATACCGCAGCAACACGTTATCACAGTGTGCAGGGGAGAGCGAGGTGCCCGGTCAATTCGGTGGTTCGGCTTTTGTAGATCTATGCATTTTTTACGGAAAGCCCTATTACCTAACCCTCTTACTAGATCTATTAGTGTTGTGAAAACTTCAACCTCTACAGCTCAGGCGTCAAAAGATGCTGGAAAATAATAATACGTCCTGAAGTTTCATAATTTATTTTTATACAAAATAACACTGTACACAGCCAGTAGTTTTTATTTCATCGAGTTATAAAAATGGCCTTCGTATAAAAATTGCCTTGTTTTCAGAAGCAAATTTTAATAGTTCTAGTTCTACCGAATCGATTTTCACGCGAATTCAACCATTTTGATGATCTTTCTTTTCCTTTTAAAAAGATGTAGATCTAGGCCTGTCGGATGTGGCAGTGCGAATAACACTGAGTTGTTTAGATCTAGACCCATCAAAACACGAGGCTTCGTGGCCGATCACAAAAGTCTACAGGGCTTATCGAGGCCGATTCACCCTGAGCACGTTCACTAAACTGCCTACTAGATAGAATCTACTACCAAATATTCTCTACACGATCTTTGCTACTACTACTACTAGGCCTACTAGCCTACATGTACTACTACGAGACAGTACGAGAGAGTGTCACTCAGGCAAAGATAGTGTAACTTTGACTCAGCCACGTAGTGTACACTCTTTTTATACCCCAAATTTAACCCGAAGTCCATTCGGAGGATTTGACCTTTTCACTTGACCAAAGTGTGCCAAAATGGTAGCCTAGCTTTTGCCCCTCCATGAAGGAAAAATCTGGCCCTCATTCAAACCATTGGGATTGAGCAAAATTTTGCGTATTGTGCTTTGTTCTTTACAATATTCATTATGGTTATGATTTATAAGTTGTACACTGAGACAAAACCGTACTAAATGAGAAAGGTGCACCATTATGAAAGTGGAACGAACTCAGTTGCCTGAAAAGGGTAGTTTGAGCATGTGTGGCCTAAATAAGCTAAACCCCCCTCCCTTACCTTATTTAGGCCATATGTGGCCTAAATAAGCACTCCCATTTTAATACATCATTTAGCCTACTCTACCTAGGAAACCATGTATTATTAGAGCCTCAGATTTCTTGTAGGTCATGGTCGCAACCAGCTACACGGCAGCCACTGGTATACCCTCGTCTACAGTTTAGGAAAGATAAAAGCAGCATATCAACTCAGAAATAGAAAATGTAGCCCTTTTCTGCTGGGAATGAGCAGCATTACAGACACAATGAATAAAATCAAAAGTGACATCAATCATTCGATACTCTACAGACATCACACAGCTGTTCACCTGTTGGGTTTTACTTAAGTTCCAATGTAACAAACGATTCAGTTCCAGAGAGTAGTCCTACATAATTGACCGAAACAAAAATTTCAGATCTACAATAACTATGATAGGTCACTGAGGTCCTAATATCTTCACGTAAAAAATTACACACCTATTGAAAAAAAAACCTCACCAAACTTTCAGATCAGCAGAAAAATATAAAGATCTAGCTAGCTATACAACTAGAATCAAGTTTTCAACCATTGATCATCTACTTTAAGAAAAAAACTTGAACAAACTCACATACTTTTGTTAGAGTTTCCAGTGAAAGAAAGAAAAAAAAAAAGACATGGACAAGATAAAACCATGATCTCACTTTAAAAAATCAGTTTTCAAAAAACACAGCAGCCAAAATTTAGTTTTAGTTGTACTCCAGTAGTAAGTGCTTTACGGCACTAGCAACACAATAAGTAAGGTGATATAGGTGCCGAAGATTAGAGGAGTTACAAGGGGGTAACAAACAAAATAGAAGGAGGAGAGAAAAGGATGATAGATGTTTGATAGAAAAGAAGGAGCAAACCCCACAAGAGCACTCACCAACCACCCACGCCTAAATTTAGGAAACTATGTATATATATTATATATATGGTATAATGTTGAACTGCTGAGGGTTCAAGTTACAATTAATTGCACTGAGAATTGAAGAACATCCCAATTGCTACACTTGAGATCTAAATGTGGAACACAAAAACAAACACCAAGATAACCAACTGCCACTCTGAAACTCTCATTTGCACATAAAACAAATAAGAAACCCAAAGACAATTTTATTCATTTATTAGGTTCCAGTCGACCAGAATTCATTTTCATTCAGAGACAATCAGGGTAAAAAAAAAACATATATAGGTGCTTGCCTTGCCCAGAAACAAGGGGGAAAAAAGCATAAGTTGGGGTGAGATGTACCCATCCATAAAATCATATGGCAACTGCCTCTAAATACAAGGCCAATGATCAAGATCAACTGTTTATTATTAAAAGGGCAACTACCCACTGAACACGATACATTAATGGTTCTCAAAATACTTGGCATAGAAATACAGCATCATGCGGTACTCAAGATCCCGAGCTTCACAAACTCACAGATGAGAGACAACAAAGGGCCAGTGCGTAAAACTTAAGTAGTCGTGCAAGTCTGGCATGCACCCAATATATCTCTACAATTTAAGCAGTCATTATGGTGTTTCCAAAAGCATACGGCAACAGCCATTACAAGATTCTGCAACAGCAGACACTTGTGTTGTGTGCCAATTACAAAAGTAACCACACCTTTGCTTACAACAAAAGTAATGAAACAAAAGTTTTACATTTACTATCAGTAAATATAGGCCCGTAAAATTCCTCCTGAAACTAAAGATAGCCCTTCAAATGTCATTATCACCTCAGGTAGTACATACACAACCATACTCCCAGCCTGTACTAGATTTGTTGCAAGTTTTGAGACAAAGATATAATAGCAAAACCAAGTCGATGAATGTCATCCCTTCACATCCCTATCTTTCAAGAAAGAACATTTGTCATTTGTGCTATAGCAAAACAATGTTTGGTCTGTGTCAACACTCTTTCAAGGTGATAGTTCTTCGGATACATTATCTAATTCAGCAAGCTGAATAAAATTATACTAAAAGACACAGTCTCAAGCACACTTTTCACATACTACAGAAATCTGACTAAAGGTTTAAGTCTTCACTGTCACATGTTTATATACATTCGTAGCCCATACACAGTGGGGTATCACAATAAGTATTGAAATTCTGTCCGTCTCTTCATCGACACATGTACATATTCTCCTTTCTCTCATGGTGGATTCATCTTTAGCAGCCTGCTATACCTCTGAACACATGTTACTGTCTGCAGCTAAGACTTGCCCTTCTTTGCCATTGCCTGCAATAAGACAGAAAAGAAAATTGTGAAAAATCCCTTTTGAATCAAAAGGATTCGTAAAAGATACAGGTGCGGTGAGGGGTGTGTGTGTGGGGGGGGGGGGGGGGGGGGGAAGGACTCACGAAAGAGACCATGCTCCCCAGAGTGCCTGGGTGAGGTAGGCGAGGAGGGAAAAATTTCTTTGCAACTGAAAAATGTAAAAAAATCATGGATCACCTACATACAACTTTCATCACTGTATGAGAAATATTTTTCAGAGAACCAACAACAGATAAAGTGGAGTATGGTGGTTTCTGGGTTCTTTTTTTTAATAGTGTAGGGGTTTTACTCCCCTAATAACACAATTCAGATCATAGCCTGTCAGGGCTAACCCAGGCTGAGAGGGATAAGGCGTCAGGCAGCAACACTGAGCAGAAAGACAGAGATACTCAATAAATATATGTGCAACAGCTAAGATTCTAACCACTACACAACAGAATGGGTAAATATGGTGAAATATCTAAATTACAATATCGAGTTCACACAGAAGGAAACAAAATTAATAGCACTGAAAACTACTTATAAAAAGAAAATAGGAGCACTGCATTATTAGGGATAAATGACTGTACAAAACCGACTGAAGCGACAGTGCCTAGCCTACTCTATGTTATTATGATTTAGACAATTCTTGTAAGACACTTACAATGTGTCGTATAAGAGAGTCATGTTAAGTAATAACTTTTGGCCTCCTGCTCTATTGTACACTCAGTATATTCTTACACACCACAGGCTTGACTTTAAACTCTGTTGGTATAGCTTTGAAAATAGTCCCACCCCAGTTGGTTTTGAAACTCATTTTGTACAAAAAGCATGAAGACTCCTCCTCAGAAATTAAATGGTTCAACTCTTTTATCTCCCAAGGGGGGTAAACCCACAATGCCAGGGCCCTCTTTTGGTACAAAACCCTAAAGTGACAAATGTCACTAAATTTGTCAATTAAATTTTTTTAAAGTGAAACTATATAGATCTTTATCAAATGAAGGAACTCCCGATATAAGAGACCTGTTTTTTGCCATCGCCGAAGACTAATTTTACGTTACAGTCGTCATAAAGGAATGAGCACAGTGGTTCTGACAGCAAGCTGCTGGGAGGGGCTTGGCGGAGACAAAGAGAAACAGAATGGTGTATACAAAACGGGATTCATTACATGTTGTTATTTTCAAATTCCTTCAGCTGAGAACATTTAACTCTTGGCAGTGCAATGCCTCCCTCAAGTAACCACATGTCCTTCTCATCTGGTCAATGCCCCATGCCTGAGTAGAGCAGGCTTGGTAAGTCTGTAGGTGGGTGTAGGAGCCTGCGTAAAAAAACTGCCAGGTTTGGGCCGTGAGGGAGAAGATGTTCAACTGTCTCCTCATGGTAGTCACAGAGAGATCTTCCTGTTTCTGCGTTGGCCCATCTGTTTAGCCACTCGTCTCTGCTTTTGGCTTGGATGATCCCTCAGCAGGTCTGTAAAGAGGCGGCTGGGGCAGGTTTACTGCAGTCTTTGATAGCTAGTCTGCAGTCTCATTCCCTGGTACTCCAGAATAGTCAGGCACCCACTGTAGTGTGACTTGAACGCCATAGGAAGTGCCCATCTGTTCTACAAGGCTGAGAATGTTCCCGTCACCTCTGTAGTCTCCTCCTCCCTCGACAGCGCGGAGTACTGACATTGAGTCAGAGAAGACAACAAATCCCCTGGTGTTACTGCGCCTTCAAAAAAAATCTTGAGTGATCTGCTCCAGGGTCTTTACTATGGCAACTCTCTCTGCGTCATAGTTGAGCTGTATGTTCCCCATGGATTTATTACATAGAAAGGACATATTTGGAGACTGGAAGACGGTATACCACACTCAAGTTTTCAGATATATATACACTGAGGAAAATACTTACGGCAGCAATAGTAGTTCCCAGTTGAGCAGGAGACATGGTCACATCCACACCAGCAGACTTCAAAGCAGCAATTTTTTCATCTGCTCCTCCTTTACCTCCAGCAATGATGGCACCAGCATGCCCCATCCTCCTGCCTGGGGGAGCGGTCACGAAAGAGACCATGCTCCCCAGAGTGCCTGGGTGAGGTAGGCGAGGAGGGAAAAATTTCTTTGCAACTGAAAAATGTAAAAAAATCATGGATCACCTACATACAACTTTCATCACTGTATGAGAAATATTTTTCAGAGAACCAACAACAGATAAAGTGGAGTACGGTGGTTTCTGGGTTCTTTTTTTTAATAGTGTAGGGGTTTTACTCCCCTAATAACACAATTCAGATCATAGCCTGTCAGGGCTAACCCAGGCTGAGAGGGATAAGGCGTCAGGCAGCAACACTGAGCAGAAAGACAGAGATACTCAATAAATATATGTGCAACAGCGAAGATTCTAACCACTACACAACAGAATGGGTAAATATGGTGAAATATCTAAATTACAATATCGAGTTCACACAGAAGGAAACAAAATTAATAGCACTGAAAACTACTTATAAAAAGAAAATAGGAGCACTGCATTATTAGGGATAAATGACTGTACAAAACCGACTGAAGCGACAGTGCCTAGCCTACTCTATGTTATTATGATTTAGACAATTCTTGTAAGACACTTACAATGTGTCGTATAAGAGAGTCATGTTAAGTAATAACTTTTGGCCTCCTGCTCTATTGTACACTCAGTATATTCTTACACACCACAGGCTTGACTTTAAACTCTGTTGGTATAGCTTTGAAAATAGTCCCACCCCAGTTGGTTTTGAAACTCATTTTGTACAAAAAGCATGAAGACTCCTCGTCAGAAATTAAATGGTTCAACTCTTTTATCTCCCAAGGGGGGTAAACCCACAATGCCAGGGCCCTCTTTTGGTACAAAACCCTAAAGTGACAAATGTCACTAAATTTGTCAATTAAATTTTTTTAAAGTGAAACTATATAGATCTTTATCAAATGAAGGAACTCCCGATATAAGAGACCTGTTTTTTGCCATTGCTGAAGACTAATTTTACGTTACAGTCGTCATAAAGGAATGAGGAATGAGCCAACGGCTCATCGGCACAGTGGTTCTGACAGCAAGCTGCTGGGAGGGGCTTGGCGGAGACAAAGAGAAACAGAATGGTGTATACAAAACGGGATTCATTACATGTTGTTATTTTCAAATTCCTTCAGCTGAGAACATTTAACTCTTGGCAGTGCAATGCCTCCCTCAAGTAACCACATGTCCTTCTCATCTGGTCAATGCCCCATGCCTGAGTAGAGCAGGCTTGGTAAGTCTGTAGGTGGGTGTAGGAGCCTGCGTAAAAAAACTGCCAGGTTTGGGCCGTGAGGGAGAAGATGTTCAACTGTCTCCTCATGGTAGTCACAGAGAGATCTTCCTGTTTCTGCGTTGGCCCATCTGTTTAGCCACTCGTCTCTGCTTTTGGCTTGGATGATCCCTCAGCAGGTCTGTAAAGAGGCGGCTGGGGCAGGTTTACTGCAGTCTTTGATAGCTAGTCTGCAGTCTCATTCCCTGGTACTCCAGAATAGTCAGGCACCCACTGTAGTGTGACCTGAACGCCATAGGAAGTGCCCATCTGTTCTACAAGGCTGAGAATGTTCCCGTCACCTCTGTAGTCTCCTCCTCCCTCGATAGCGCGGAGTACTGACATTGAGTCAGAGAAGACAACAAATCCCCTGGTGTTACTGCGCCTTCAAAAAAAATCTTGAGTGATCTGCTCCAGGGTCTTTACTATGGCAACTCTCTCTGCGTCATAGTTGAGCTGTATATTCCCCATGGATTTATTACATAGAAAGGACATATTTGGAGACTGGAAGACGGTATACCACACTCAAGTTTTCAGATATATATACACTGAGGAAAATACTTACGGCAGCAATAGTAGTTCCCAGTTGAGCAGGAGACATGGTCACATCCACACCAGCAGACTTCAGAGCAGCAATTTTTTCATCTGCTCCTCCTTTACCTCCAGCAATGATGGCACCAGCATGCCCCATCCTCCTGCCTGGGGGAGCGGTCAGGCCAGCAATGAAGGACACAACAGGTTTCGCATTTGGTCCCTGGATATAATAAAAAGGGAAAGTGTTAAACAATAGTGATCACAATAATGGTCTGCATGTATTAAGTGCATTTCCACTCTGTGAATGCTCAATGGGTATTACAGTGAAGATTACAGGAACAAATACACTTATTCATCCATGGTCTCTCTCATGCACAAAGGTGTATCCTTGCGTGAACTTGTAGATATGCCACTCTTAAAGCTTGTTCACACGCTCACTTCATTTAGAAGGTTCATTCCAAACCAAAATGATCAGTGCCCCATAGTACTTATAAACAGCAGATGATTTTACTAAGACTGCTTTGATGAAGACCTTGGGGCTCTTGGTTAAGTACAGTGGAAACCATATATAACAGGCCCGGTAATAACAGGGATCCGGTAATAACAGGGATTTTTTAAATCCCCATTTTTTCCTTCTCTTTGTCTCTATTAAAAGTTATCGGCAATAACAGGGCCTCATCGGAGCCCAACCGGTTATAGCAGGGACAAAGGCTCGTTAACAATGGGTAAAAAGTAAGAGAGAGAGAGAGAGAGTAACACAGTGATGGAGCAATCCCACGCAAGCCATGCCACTGCAAGCACACGCAGCGCGTGAAGCGAGAGAGGGCTGCGGTGTGCTGCCAACCTCGATCTAGCCCGAAACCTAGCAACACGCACGCGTAATGTGGCAATTATCAGTGTTGGAAAAGATCTGTGACTGTGAGAAGAACAAAACCTGAAAGGAATAATTCCTAATTAATGTATTGATTGGAAAGAGAGTATTCATCATATAAAACTTACACTGTTATTCTGTTTCAGGTACTCGGCTGCATTTTCTTCTGCAGAACCACCAATTTCACCAATGAGCACAATGCCTGAAAGAAAAGTAACCCTGATTATAAAATATGAATTCAAAATTTCATTTGAAGTCATGAACGTTGTTTGTGAAGTAAATGCTTGTCAACTCTGTCATGTTTAAAAATAAAATTCAGTTTCAGTTTGTTTTTCTACAACTCATGCAGGTGGCTATTCTACTACAGTGGGTGTCACATTCAACAAGGTCACATTCAACGAGAAGTCGGCTCCAACTAAGCAATCCTTAATCCCCGAATTTTTCCTCTATATCTTTTTGTAAATGTACGTTGGCTCCAACGAGGTTGCAAACAGACCGAAGTCGCTTTCAACGAGGTTGCAATAATCAAATAAAAGCAATTAGCAGCCCCAAAAGCGAAGAATTTTTCTCCTTTCTCTCCATCTCACATGAAGCACAAGGCCCATCATCGATTCCAAACACATTGTATTGCTAGATCTAGTGTGCTTCCTAATATGGGCCCCAAAGCCAAGTGGATGGGCGCGGGTTAGCCTACGGTAGGGATGGGAGGGGAGGGGGTGGGTGGAAACACGATGCGGGCTGTGTGAAACTGGATGAACTCTAGATGGGTAGATCTAGGTCATTTTTTTTTCAATTTTCTTTCCTTCCCCTGATCAGAAAATCCAAGCTCCCACCTTTCCTTTATGTAGATAAAATAGGCCTAGATGTGAGAGGTATGTTTTCACACAAGAAGTGCTCCCGAAAAAGTATTTTAAAATTCAGAAATGACGGTCAGAACACAGCCAACACTAATGCTGTTTGAAATTTTCGTCATCAGGGGGAACAGCATAATAATAATAACTTGTCTCCTCTCTTTTCTTTAGCCTTAGTCAAATTCAACGAGAGGTCGGATCCAACGAGGACAATAAGCCGGTCCCAGCAACCTCGTTGAATGTGACACCCACTGTAACAAAAACTTAAAACATTAAAAACTATGTATTACTACTTGCAGACACAGAAAAAGGTAACAGCTTAAATCACCTTCTGTTTGTGGGTCATTCAGGAAGACCTCTAAACAGTCAATGAAGTTGGTGCCATTGAATGGATCTCCACCAATTCCCACACACAAAGACTGTCCAAGTCCAGCCAAAGTGGTCTGATGAACAGCTTCATAAGTCAGGGTACCAGAACGCGAAACAATTCCTGAAGTTAAAAAACAGATGCAATGTTCAACACTACAACAAAAACTCAGTCTAAATGTTAGTACGACAAAGTTTTATGTTTTCAAAGGCAATTTATGGGAAGCAAAGATATTTCTAAATTTTCTCCTGGTTCTTTTTTTAAGATATAAAAGTGATTGAACTGCACTTTTCAAGGGGCAGCCATCCCTAAATGTGAGTTGCATTTTGCCTGAATCACTCCCATCTGCCTGCCATCTTGACTTCCTTTTTAAAAAAACAAAGATCAACCTTTGATAATATAAGCTATAATTGCAGACTCAAAAGACAGACAGATCCATGTGTCTCTAACAGCTATTTCTGGAAGACAAAAGGAGTCTCCTTTAACAATATTAGTGAAATGCTCCATGTTTGTATTTATAGGATTATCAAAAGTCAGTCAAATATGTAAATGAATTGAAAAGAATCTGTGATTTGTGTCAAAAATAAATAACTGCTCAATATCCATTACTTGTCACAGTTACAACAGCCTTATCAAATTTATAACTTTATGTAAAGTGACTGTCTGCAGTTCAAATTTGAACCAGTAGGTCATGCAACTCATATAGCTGTCATCCCTACCAACTAGCCTAAAATTACTCAAATATTAGGTACACTTTGTAGAGCTGAATGTACCTCGATATGAATTAGAAATGAGATCAATTTCATAGTAAACAATGTTTTTTCCCTCTTTGCATATATGTAAATATATGAGAAAAAAAATCTTTTTGTTAAAATATATCTCTAGACAGTCACAGTAAAAATAGGTCACATATACAAGTGAGACCAACTGTTGCTTCAAATCAAAATACAGTAAAGCAGGGATAAGTCGAACACAGAAGACTCAAAATCACGCATCTGTCAAACTGTGCCTGTGTCCCATTTTTTTTCTCTTTTGTCTTTGTAAGAAAATTACGCGAGGCTCTAAGACAAACACGAACTAGTCTTACTAATTACGCCGCCGTAGATGTCTAAAGTCAATGTCCTCTGAGGTGCTCTTTAGACAAAATAATAAAAACAATAATAATAATAATAAACAGAGAAAAGTGAGGCTTGGTAAAATATCACCTTTCCCCCTCCACAGAAGCAGCTAGATCTAGTTGTGCTATTTTTAGAGCGCTGCTCGACACATGCAGAGACCGTAAATACAGTATTTATTATCAATAGACACAGGTGCCATAAGCTTATCCTATCAATTGTTTATGCTTTGAAAATTTTGAAAAAAGAACATTCAATTAATGCAGACTCAATAAACACTGTTCACACTGACCCACACAATTAAACTGTCTTGGTACCGGTTGGCTCACTACATCTACCGATTGAACTCAAAAGCTTCGCGCATCGTGTTTCTCTTTCTCAATCTGTCAAATTTTTGTTCCTTCCCTTCATTCTGACTAAGCCGATGCCATAACACTGTTCACGTATCCCTTGAACTACGGATCCCTGGAATTACCCAAGCCATTCCCGACGAATTCGAGCTATCCATGTTGTAACACTGTACAATCAAAAACCTTTTCATTGATACAACACTTATTGAGTTGACCCTCACAATAATTCGTAAATCATTTTTAAAAATCTACAACAATTATCTCTAACTTGAACAAAACTGATGAACTGTTGATAATATTCAGAGGCACAAATCATTTCATGTGACAAAAATACATTATTTCTATAAGGAAAAAAAAAAGAGAACATTCATTGAAGTATGATCAGAAATTGCTACTTACAGCTGTTAAAGTTAAGGTGGCCAATGCCTTACTTTAAAGTCACTTCCCCAACTGTCAGGTTGATCTGTTTTTAAAAGTGTATCTGACACAGGTTGGGAAAGAAACCCAGATAACTGTTAAAAGTAGCCCCATTCAAAGTAGAAAAACTACAGTCACAACTTTTTTTCCCGTCCATTGCCCATTTCTATGATATTGACGCCATCTGATAAGTAGAAAAATGTGTGTATGATAGAGTCCAATAGTGTATTATGTACATATTTGTTATCACATGTGACTGTTACATATAGATGTTCAAGATAATTATATGTATGTGAAGGACCTGAGAGCAATGATGATTTTTTTAAATGATGGTGGTGGTGGTGATAAGTGATGATGTGCCTTCCTTTCTTCTCTTTCTTTTCTTTTTTACAAGTCTGATGTTAACGGTCAAAAATGTAATTATATCACGAGGGAGGGAGGGAGGGAGGGAGGGAGGGAGAGAGAGAGAGAGAGAGAGAGAGAGAGAGAGAGAGAGAGAGAGAAAGAGAGAGAGAAAGAGAGAGAGAGAGAGAGAGAGAAAGAGAGAGAGAGAGAGAGAGAAAGAGAGAGAGAGAGAGAGAGATGTACTCACTGAGAGTAACATTGTGCGTAAGCTGTCATGGGCAAACAAGTAACTGAGTTTCCATGTACAACACAGACCTTTGTACAAAGGTCAGTTCATTACATTATCCATGAAACCATTAATTTAGACCCATTATTTCCAGTAAACCTCAAGGTATGACTGATCAGATAATCTGATACGACAGTGAGATCATCCAAACAGACACTTCAAATTTCCTCCGTAATTTTAGATCAACACCTGTTTCAGCTGACTCATCTTTGAACCAAGCATAACAACATTCTCCACTTTCACCTGGAAATGATGACAGAAGAGCCACAGTCAGAAGTACACTGACACCATCATCATTGCACAAGTAAGGCGAGGGAGGTTCAACAATAAAATTAATCAATAAGATATGCGACAGCATAAAGGCTAGCTCTGCCAACAATTCACATAATTTCCACATTAAAAAAAGTAAGAGAAAAGTATGTTGCCATGAGTATCAGGTATCACAAATATTTTCCTACCTATTTTTCCAGGCATATGTATATGTCCAGGCATGATACCAATTTTACACAAACCAGGCTGAAAAGAAAAACAGTTTAAAATTATAAAGCCAACCGTAAAAAGTTCTCACACTCACCTAATTCTTCTCTAAACAAAATACGACAAACTTAAACGAAATTCATGTACACAACAAAGGTAACTCTTCAGCAAAGGAAAAGATTTCCTCACCATAAAAAACCCATCAAAACACATATACAAAAACAAGTACATGTGAAATTGAAAAATTTGAGAAACTTTCACTAAAGAGAATTTATACTTAATAACCAAGGATCAAAAGACAAATGATTTTAAAAATTTTTCAATTTGCTTATTAAAAATGTACCTAATATTATTTTATGTCCATGCACAACTCTTGAAACGAAAACTAATGGATTGTTTTGGAAAAAGTAAAAAAAACAACAGAAATATTTAAAATTCACAATTCATTTAATAAATGGAGGCCATTTTGAAATATAATGTTATACTAACCTTGATGATGCCAGGACAATTGGGGCCTATCAGACGAGTTTTACTCTGCCTCACAAGCCTGTGCTTCACCCGCACCATGTCTTGCTGAGGGATTCCTTCTGTGATGCAAACAACCAAGGGTATTTCAGCATCCATGGCCTCCATGACAGCTGCTGCAGCGAATGGAGGAGGAACAAAGACAACCGAAGCTGTTGCCCCTGTAGCATCTTTAGCCTGAGGATTGAAAAACCCATGGGTCACTTATCCTCATGAAGATAAAATGTTTCTCCCAATAAGACAAACCATTTGCAAGAGAAAAGCAAAGTTAAGTAAAGTCTTGATTTTTTAAATGTTAACACTGAATTAATCTTTATTTTTACATTATCATGACAGGAAGCAATTCACCAAAGAAAAGTACTCAAAACAATGCATTCAGTCAGTAAACTATATCACAACAAGGTGCTCCAAATGCTTACATCAGTCATGAACAACAACAGAAGCAATTAGTTGATGAACAGTAATACAAACTTATAGCTTGTTCAGTTTCGTCTGTCCATGTTTAAAATAATTCTACTTCATCTATTAATTTGCCAACGTGCATGCATCGCACTCCTGTAGGCCAGCAACCAAACAAAAATGTTGGGGTTTTTATTACTTTGATCCAGTAATAAAAAAGGTTCTTCATTTGGGCTTCATTTCAAATAGCATCCTTTCAGCAGACACACAGGATCACTTAAATAAATTATTTACAGCAACCTAGCCTTCCAATTGCTCATTTTGGGAAAGTGATACCACTCTATCGTGACATTTAAGTGGACGCTTGTAAATTTTCCCCCAATCAAGACAAGAGTCTTGAAAAGTACTCACTTATCTGTTGGACTGTGTTTCATAGGCATATAAGTTAAAATGTGGTGGTGATAAAAATACATCAACCTTTTTTCTGTTTCAGGTGTATGCAGTAAATCCTCTATATTTTTTTACCAACTTCAGGCTTATGTCAAAGAAAACATTAGGTCCATAAACCATCACGTCTATATTTTAACTGACTGCACAAGAGCTTTTCACATGAGTTAATCCCATACCACTGCACCATTATTAAACAAAGCAGAATATGAGCTGAAGTACACATGGGAAATAGTCCATTGCACAATCAATACCTCTTTGACTGAAGCGAAGACTGGTAAGCCAAGATGCTCTGTTCCAGCCTTAGCTGGTGAGACTCCTCCTACAAGCTTCGTTCCATACTCAAGGGCTTGTTGACTGTGAAATGTGCCCTAGGAGAAACAAAGCAAGCACAATTCTAAAAATCCCAAAGAATTATAGAAATGATATGATTACTGCTGACAAAAAATTAAAAGCTATTACTAAGGTGCAAAATTGAATATACTTTTACTTTCCTTTTACATCGTAAACTGAAAATGGAATAAAAGAGCAGGCGGACAGGAGCAAAACTAGAAAAAGCAGTTCAAGATACATAAGTTTAAGGTCAAAATGGACGTGCGAAGTGTCAGAGATATTAAAAATCTGTGTAGCCCGATAACAAGAGACTGAACCAATCAAAAACCATTTAACAACTGATTCTGTTCGGTGCAACTCCAATATAATGTGCTTATCTGTTTTGTGTAGATGAGCATGAAGTAGTATGAAAATTTAGTCTCTGCTAGTCCACACCACCTTCACTCCTTTAGTACACGCACAGCACCATTACTTTATCTAGAAAATTAATATTTTTCTTTACATTTTAATTTACAGAGAGTACACAACAATCAACAAATTCTTTGGCTCTTTTCAAAATAATATAAAAGCTTTGAAAACAATGTCTCTTTGGCAAAAAGTAAGAAGTTTAACTTTAAATTGTTTTAAAGAGCGAGAGAATTGAAACAAATACAGCGCATTATTTACCTTCTGTTTTAATCAAAATGAAAAACATCTTTATCTACAATCAAAATTTCCTTTTAATTCCCTAAATTTTCAAACGTGACTGACATTATCATACAACACTGATTATATTTCTACATACCTGTTTTCCCGTGAAACCTTGACAAATAACTTTTGTGTTTTCATCAAGCATTAAATTTTGCCTTGAAGCAGTGTAGACACTTCTCACAGCAGGACGAAACAAACCTGTGATGGAAAGCATTGATTTCATAAAAATGATGCAAGACAGTATTAACAAAATAAAAATTTTTCACAATAGAAAAAAAGACTCATCATCAACTGACCTGAAAAACAAAAGTCAATGCATAAAACTAGACTATTCCAAATCTAAGCCCAAGCATTATTATAATGTAGAGGTGAAACTGCCACATAAATTATTTTTAAAAATTCGGGCAAGTCCAAAATCTGAACCTACATTAAGTGCCCTGACACATTAGAAGAAATTTTGTTCAAAAGTGAACTTCAAGAATAATAGATCTTGCCCACCATGTGCATTTAGCATGACTACTTAAAGCATATAGGGCCTGGACCATTATTTGCTTAAAAGACCGCCACTACAGTAGTAACTAATTGACGACAGCCTTGCTGTCACTGCATCTCTGAATATCTCAACAACATGACATGAAAAAGAAAAATCAAATTCTACATTAATTATTCAAATCACCTTGGGAATTTTGTTTTAAATGGACGTACATACATGGTACACATTAATACATAAATCATAAATGCATACAAATGATATACAATTCAATCCCAAACATAGACAATCCACACATTGTCATTGCTCATCACCACTGTGCAGTTCCTGGTTTTTGAGCTAGGGTTATCTTGAGTAGGTGGCCCTAGAACAGGTTTGACAGTAGATAGGACTATATAATTTACAAATTATAAAAATTAATTTGTGCAGAGATTTTTATTGTGAGTGAGTATGACAAGATTGTCACTGGTGATTGCAGCATATAATACAGTCCAACCTGCCTTAACGAAAACCTGTGTAAAACGGAAACCTGTCTTAAAGGAATCTCCCCGCTCCCCCCTTGATATATCTCTCTTTAATTACCTGTATAAAACGGAAACCTGTCCAACGCTGAAACGGAAAGAAAAATCCGCTCCCTTCCGAGGGTTTCACCTGTCTAAGACGGAAAATGCTTTGCCCGCTCAGCCCTGATTTGAAACGAAACTCGCAAGTTTGGTTCCGCTGGCTCTGAACTTAACGCCATGGCCATGCCGCTGGGCGAGGAAGGGGAGTAGGGGTGCAATAAGGGGGTAGATGTTACCCCATTATGTGAGCCTTGAGCGATGCAGATGGTCAGTGTAGTGTGGGTGTGAAATCTCACGACTGCCCGTGAGAGTGCTCGGGTAGCGAACCACTAAGAAAACCTTCCTGGGTAGCCAGAAGACAGAGGTGTGAAATTAGAGTGTCCAATGCCTGCCGCCCTGATCGTACGGCCAGCCGAGAAAAGAGTTCCTCAAATCGTTGTTACAACAACGATGGCAGTGAGGGGTGGCATTGGTGGGTGGGGCTAAGGGTGGAAGCAAATGAGATGTTGAAACCTTTCTGTTTTTAATAGGTCAAACCGTGGTCCTATGAAAGGCAAGCACTGGTGGTAATTGGATACGTAAGACTGACGCATGTCATTATCAGACAGGATAGCAGCTGAGAAGTGTGAAGTTTTGATCACTGCTTGCCGATCGGACAAGCGATCCTTGATCCCACCGGCTGGGCCTTTTAACCCCCACCCCCCAACCTCCACCTCCCCCACTAAATTCCCATGTCTAAGACGAAATTTTTTCTCCGCTCCCTTGCGATTCCGTCTTACACAGGTTCGACTGTACCTCCAAGTGTTAACTAAGCAAGTGGCTATTCTACGGCGTCATGTCCGTCAATAAATCGATGGCTTTTCTCTGGCATCACGTATAGTTGCAGATGTCACTTTTCCACAGCTTTTCATCTCCCCTGTTGGCATGTGGCCATTATTGTTGCAACTGAGTTCAGGGCCAGATGCGCCTTCTTGTACTTCTGCTGGTGCTGTCACCTCTGACACAGAAATTCCTCCTCCTTCCATCTGTCACTGGAGCTTTCATTGAGTATTGGAAGTGTGTCCACCTATAGTGAATCGCATTCTGAAGAAATGTCGACCCTGATGAGTGTTTGTGTGTAAGGCCATAACACGGGAGATGAAAGGAAACTTTTTGAGAAGCGACATGTGCAACTAGACCAATACGTGACGCCAGATAATAACCATCAATCTGTTGACCAGCACTACACCAGAGAATAGCCACGTGCTAACTATAAAAGAGAGGTATTTCAACAGAGAAACAGAGGTGTGTATCTTGTCTCATCGTACACTTAACCAGGCAGCTGTTCCATTATTTTAAACCGTGACTACTCCATGGTAAATTAATGTGTAAGTGAGGACTACAGACAAACAGAGGTCTTTTCACATTAAAAAATCATAACTTAGATCTGGTAACTACAGTAGCAGGAGAGAAACTAAAGTCCATAACGTGTTTGTTATGATTCAGCTTAGTCACAAATCTTTCTTCTTTGTCTTCTGTCGGCACTCCTCGGGAATAGTGGTCCCTGATGTAAACACAAAAAACAGATACGAAAACTGCTGATAAAAAACAATATCGTGTAAACTTTGTAGCATGGTCTTACACACTCTTGAACTGAAACTGAAATGAAATCTTAGCGAAGACAAGAAGTCAAAATGACTCAAAAAAGCAGATTTTTATATTCACTGGTACATTATAAGACCATGGTCATGACTCTACTGTAAATTTGGCCTACTAAAAAAGATTTGTTTTTCATCAGCGGTATCCTCACGTTTCCGTTTTTCTGTGTTTACATCAGAGACCACAATTCCCAAGAAGCGCCCTTCGCCTTCTGTCTTATGTTATGTTTAATTTCGTCCTCTCCTCTGCTAACACTACACAAAACTCTAGATCTAGACCTATACTCTGACTTAAGAGCTTTTCCACACACAGTTTCAGTCACCCACACAGTGATCTTGCATTTTCCAGACCAGAATTCAAATTGGGTCAAACACAACTGAGCTCACAATTCTATCAACCAATAACCTTTCAACTGGACTGACTTTTCAAGTCTTAAAAAAAAACAGTCAGCGGTGTTGTGAATCTTAACTTTACTGAAAGCCCCAAAGTCTAGATCTAATCTAGATCTAGATATATAGATCTAAGTATTCTAATTTAGATTCTAGATATATAGATCTAGATTCTAGATCTAAGTCTAAGTCACTAAGTCTAAGGTCCAGTCCTGTGGTCCATATTTTCATCAGATTTGCGTGTCCGATGCAGATTCCAATTAGAAGTTTGGAAAAAGCCTCTTTGCAGAAAAAGTCTTACTTGAAAGTCTAAAAACAAAATATAAAAGTTGGCATTTAATGTAAGAAAGGATAGCGAATATAATCAATAGCAAAATAGGACCTGAAGGATACATACCGGGCAACCTTGCGAGCACCTTGCTAGAAGCCGCCATCTTGGTGCAGTACACAGTAGCGTATGAGTTCAAGGTTACGAGTCGTGTTGAAACTAAAAGTATACTTCACTCATACTTCACCGAAACAAATCAAAGAAATGATTTTTTTCTGGAGCGCTTTTATAGTGTGGTCATAAATTTACACAACTAGATCTAGATCTAGGCTATAAACAATTCGCCAGTTAACAATTTTTTAATCAAAACCTCCTCAACTATCGAACACAAACTCCCCAGCTTCTGCACAATAACTTAAATTGTGCCCGCAATTTTTTTTTACCAACGGATCGAGGGGTTTCTACAGATTCTAAAAGGTTGATTAGACCTACGTATAGGCCCTACTATCATGAGCTGGGTCAATAGCACTTTTCTTTTAAATGCAAGTCCATCATTTCTTTTAATCGCGACACTCTGCTAGGCCTACTCTAAAAAGATTGTTTGAAGAACCGCACATAATCAGTCCCAGCGTTATCAAGAGTGACGGCACCTTTCGTACGTGTCACCACAATACGTGAGGCCTACTCTTCCTGCATCATCATGTGTTATAACATAATGTATAATATTCTGCTCCTCATCAGGCGAATTATAAAGTAGGTCAGCAACAATTCCTTACAATTGCACTTGTCATTTATCAGGAGATCGTATTTATGAGTGGGCTCAACTTTTGCCACTAAAAATTGTAATCGGTGAGCAGTCACGCGCCTGCAAAAAAATGTGTGTGAGAAGCGGGAATTAGTGCTTGGAACACTCCTTTTTTCAGTGTAACGGGACATTTGTAGTATTTTATATAATTTATTATGAAGAAAAGTTGGGTGGGGAGGGGGTTGTTCGTTAAAAAAAAATCTCAATTGTAGTGGGGGAAATTATTATGATAACATACGTGTAGTTGAGACAAATGGGCTAGAAGACACAAACTGCTGTGTAAAGTACGTCTGTGGATGACATTGATTCGCCTGCTAAAGAGATTTTGAGGATAAGTTTAAGGGCCACCAAATGTTTACCGCACAGAAAGTTCGGATCTTTATCTTTTTACTCATTACTTATTATAAATTCAATTGTCTCAGTGTCTCAATGACATGCAATTTCGATGGCGGAGCAGGGGAATCCCTCTTACAAGACCTTGAGCCATGAGCTGAGGTCGAAACTATGGCCCTTTTCTACCTCTTGACGGATAGTCTTATTTGGCAGTGTGCTTAACATTTCAGCTTTTCAATGGAAGAAGATTGCCCAAATAGACTTGCTACTCTACCAGCTCTCTGACTCTAGGCCTACTTTCCTCCATTCAGTATCTTCATTGACAATCCAAAGGAGAGACGGGGTTAGGGGCGGCTAGTGATTTGCAGTAGAGGAATGCTGACCAGCTGTACTGTATTTCATTATGACCCACGAAACCGCTGAAATGGATAGAAACTGACTCGAACGGCACGGAACAAAATTTTTTAAGAGACACTTTTATTATATTAGAAAACAATTAACTGAAAGTGCGAAATAACAATAATCCCTGCTCCCCCCCCCCCCCCCCCCCGGGAACTTCACTCAATTAAAGACTTTTCTTTCCACACACCCGGCTACATATTAAGTCTAGACGTTCACTATCATGTAAAAATATTAAACGTATGTGATGATTTAATGTCAACTAACACCTTGCACCTTGACGCTGTCCTATGCAGATCAAGTTAAGAATCAGGTACGATACAATGACACCTCACGTAGGCTATGTTATGCCTAGCCTTCCCCACACTCCCACGCGCGTTGGACTAAGGGTGCCGGTTCAGCAATAGACAGTCAAAAAAACCCAGAAACATCCCAATATAGCCCTTCCACAATTGTAACCAGTCGTAAACCCGGCCTTCACTCCACCAGGGCAGTGCTACTGACTGAAGTGTCTTTAGGCCATTCCCAAAGGGGGGATACTTACATTTTATTCTTATGCACAGTAGAATACTTGTAAATGGGCTGATTTATCAATGTTATGCTCATACTCTCATACAGTTCCGGAACAACACAGGAGGGGGGGGGGGGGGGGGACTGCTGCTTCTTCTTTCTTCATCCTTACCATCGTCATTTTCCCTCTATTTCTTTTGTATGCTTGTCACTCTCTTGTGAACTGCTATTTCCGGGGTGACTTGAGAGTCGAAGCAGACTTTGTACGCGTGCTGTTGAGGCGACATGGGAACAGAGTAGCCTAAGCTTTAGCTTGATTCCCCGTTCGGACTTCTCTGTTGACATCCACCACTCGGATCGGCGCTCGTGTGACCTTATTCAGTTGTGAGCGCCGTAAAACCTGGCGGTAGACGGCCAACTTATCTAGAAAAATCACGACACGTAGACCTTCAACTAAACCGGCATCAAAGAATGTGTGTGATTTAAGCATACGTTTTCTAAAGATTCGCTTCTATATTATCCCTTTCTCACCTGCCATGAATCATTTTATATACTTTATGCATGTAGCAGATGAATCCTCTCTCCTCTTTGTATTTTTCTTGTATCAGGTTTTTTTTGTGTTGTTTTTTTTGGTTTCCCTAATTGTGTCTTTGTTCTGCCCAATTTTGCCGATCTCTCTTTCTCAGCAACTTTAGTGAACCCATATTCCCTTATAAGACGTGCTTACTGCTTGCTTGTATACTTGTATAATATTATATTTTGTGGTTAATAGAAGTACAGGGGCAAAGAAACGGCGGGGTGTGTATGTGTGTGTGTGAGTGTGTGGGTGTGTGTGTATGAGTGTGTGTATGAGTGTGTGTGTGTGAGTGTGTGTGTGTGTGTGTGTGTGCGTGTGTGTGTGTGTGGAGGAGGGGGGGGGGGTGGGAGCACATTAATTGAGTTTATGCTCAGGATGCGAGTGTACTCGACTGGCTAGAGTACGTCATGATTACAAAGTGATTACCCAGGCTCGAACTCGAGTCCAGTATACTGAACTCGTACTTCCCCAGTTGTGATCAGTTGAGCAGTCAGGTCCTTGCATTGTCTTCTGTAAGGTAGGTCTGAAACTGAAAAAATTAATTTTTTTCACCCTCACGCCCTCACTTTTATTTGGCTTAAGAGCGCCATATCGTCAGCCTTATTTCACAGTTGCCCAATTCGATTTCTGGTTTTCATGTCAAGCTGAGCTGTCTTCCGGATAAAGACATTAAAGGACATCTTACAATCTCTAAAATTCCAATTGGTTACAATAAATAGTAAAGCGTTAAAATAAGAAAGTGGTCGCAGTCACCAAAAGTAAAACTTTCAACCTTGATAAAGATCAACACTAGACTTCCTCTCTGAGGACATGGGAATACAGCCTCTTTCCAAGGGTGATGTGACATAATAACTATTACATGTATCAAGGCGCTCTAAATGCAAAGTGTGTTGCTTGGGAGGAACACAAGGACAGGATCAATAAACTGTATTCTGTTCCGTCATCACATGTCTCCCCAAGCGCTTTAAATACAGTTACTTGTATAAAAGCCTAGTGCATGTTCGCCTTCAAGCTTCCACAATTTGTGATATAAGTGACTTCACTCTTTCTTTGACTTTCGCGGGTTTTTAAATATTTTTTTAAAATAAATATAATCATCTTTTACCATCCTCTGTCTAGCTTTATATGCCATCCAAACCTCTTTTGTGAGGTCTGTATGCCTTGTAAATGGATGGATCCTTCTTTCTCCGGTTATTACAGCTATATTATAATCTTCTAATATTTTTTTCTTCCTGATTTTGTATAATTTTCCTCTGTGAATATGTCATTTTAGAGCAACAGAACTGTACAATGAATGGGTGAAAACGTTAGGTGCTCCTCTGCTCCTCGGGGACCTTATATGCCTACCACTAGGCCTTCTCAGTTCTAGGCCTAGGCCTATATATA